AGGACATCTACAATTCTTTTTCTTTTAGAGCAAACATCACCAGGCAACTTGTCATCACCATGAGGGCAGTTTGAATTTTATCCTTGCACACACCTTTGTTTCAAGTATCAATAGAATAACAATAAATCGTCTTCTTCTTCGCGTTCCCGTGGAAGATCGCCGGGGTAGTCAACACTGCTGGTTCATCAAACTGCTGTACAACTGATTTTTACGTATGTGACCATTTTTCTAATTAGTAGGGCCCCTTGCCTTCTGCCAGGGGCTTTCCGATTTCTAAAGTACTCTATTTTTTTAATAATGGCCCAAGGGGGTTAAGAAAGAAAGTGGAGATGAAAGCAGTTCACAGAACATGACTACAAAACAGGAAAGGATGTCAAAGGATAACATTAAAATTTTATAGATAAAAAAATGTTTCGTCGTTGTCAGGTTTTGAACCCGAGACCTTTTGAATGAGAAGGGGAGCTCCTATAAAAACATGAAATAAACAATAACTTTTTATCACGTACTAAGAATTTATTTCATGACTGACATATTAAGACAGATGAATTGGCAAATTTGATGACAACATTTTTAAAGAAAACAAAGACAATGTGGAAATTATATTGAAAAGGCTGCATACACAGCTTCCGCTGGGCCGAATGTCTGCATTTTAATAGAGTTTAAAGTACCTGTCACGCTTGGACTTTTCATAATAAATAACAATATTACAGCTCAAAGCGTTGTCGCTGTCATGCACGATTGTCGTATGTCAATATACTCAGTTAAAAGGAGAAGAAAACAATACTTTCATTTTGGCAGGGACATTAGTATCTTAATACACAATGTTTAATTCTTATAAATCCTTACTATTTTAAAGAGAAAGAATGAAACCAGGACCAACAGAGTCGCTTTATCAAATTCTATAAGAAACTTTATTTCTATTTCTTTTTCGAAATTTGGTCGTACTTCAGTTTTGAACAATCGCAACGGCTCGGTCCTCAGTAATCTCACTTGTGCTGTCTGTCACTTTCCCCCATCTGCAGAATACAATTCCAAGCGTTCAAGGTTTTAATTTTTGAGTTGATATCACTCCAAGCACAGTCTCAGTCTAATCTTTCACGAACTTGACGTATGCATGGGGTGAGACTTTGATTCATATAATATTTCGTTTACGTTTGGAGAGCATGAAGACGAGCGAGCGCAAGAGAGGCAGTTGTCCAAGATTAAGATTCTAACATATGGTCGCTTTTAAGGACTAACCCAGATTTCGAAGGCTTCCAGATATCTTGACCTACACCAAAAGTGGGCATTGCCCTATCTGCAGGAGAAGTTTGGTTTCATGGGTGTGTTTATTTGTTTGGTTGTAGAGAAAATTCTCCTTGTCTTTTAAAGAAACTGAATAAGGGGCAAAAACTTTACCTTCGATTTTCTCCACACAAAAAAATACATTTTTCGGGATAGCCAGCCCCCTTGTGCTTATACGCGACCATAAGTTTTAATATGCATTTGATCAGAGGTTTTGCATCGCTCCTTTCTGAACTTAAATGGCTTCATCATCATCCGGTGCCTTGCCGACTAGCTTGGGCGATCATGGACCTCCAAATACATCTCTCTTGTATTGCAGCAATGGTGTCTGTTGATTTTGCTGCTCCCAGCCATGGTGTCAACTTGTCCGGTATCTTTTCCCTCTGTCTGACTCTGCCTCTCTTTCTATCAAACTTGCCTGTTGTTACAATATTCTCCAATGCTTCTTTCCGTATTGTATGTCCTTTGAAATTTCCCTGTTGTTTTCGTATATTCGTCATAAGCTGTCATCTGCAGTCTGCTTCAACCAAGACTTTTTCATTTGTTTTTCTAGCTGTTCGTGGGATAAACATATCTTTGAGTCATTTAAAAAGGCGACTTCTATTAATTTAAGGACTCCCCCCTTTTTGCCTCTCCACCCCCCTCTCTCTCTCT